CACATGGCTGATAACACTCAAGGCATTATTTGCCCGCCTGACTGCACTGAGTCAGAACAAAGGCCAGCTAATGAAGCTTTCAAATGCTGTTGGCTCTTGCCTTTGACGGTTCAACACAGGTTCTCCCCGCATGTATGCGGCAGTTACAGCAGCCATGCGACATCCCCTCCAAAACACAAATGCCTCCTGAGCTTGGACAGGAAAAGCCCAATGGAAAGTGACAGACGGACAAGATAGAGTATGAGCAGCAAAATGTCTGACAGATATGCAGCCGCTAGTTTCCAAAATGGAGGACAGCCGGGAAAAGAAAGAGAAGTTAATAACAAACAGAAACCAACAAACAAGCAAACATATACACACCAATTGCAGACCCGATGAATGCTTTAAATCCAAAACTGTGTACATTTAATTTTCAACAGAGAATAGAATTTGTTCTCCAAGACTGAAGTCAATGATTCGCCTGATGCCAGAGCACAGAAGAAATGTGGTCCATCAATAGTACCAACTTATAAAAGATGAATATATTTTTTTCCTGGATTAGTCCCTTGATAAAGAGCCTGGGTATTTTTATTTGCAACTCTGTTCTGTAAGATGCAACCTATAATCTGGTAGTGCTCTAAAAATTAGGCCTTCAGCAGACTTCATTCAATCTACTTGGTAATGTACCGTTTGTTCAGAGGGAAGCAGCTGAAAGGAAAGAGGGCCTTGATGTTGCACAAAGCATGCAATTGCAGCTCCTTCCTCTGCCTGAAGATCTGCTGCAAGAGCAAAACATAAGAAAAAACGTCTCAGAGAGGTAGACTTGCATTCCTTGCAAATATGCAATTTTGCAATTGCATGCATGCATGCAATTTTCAGGATACAATTGCATTGAAATATTATGCTTTAGATAGTTCTAAGGCCCTTGGCATGCTATCCAACATTTTCTATATTCTGTATAATTTTTCCAAGAATGTTGTTTCTTACATATGCAAATCAAAATTTTTGTTATTGTATTTTCTCTTTTAAAAAATAATTAAAAAGTTATTTGCACAACAAAAATAGCTGCAAGGCAGGCCTTGCAATCCAGCTGTGCCCAGTGATGCTGTTTGTGTTCTGCTTTGAGCAAATGCCTCAGCAGTATCTGGGCAAGGCTTCCGGGGTACCATGGACAGCTCTGCTCAAAGCCTAAGGCTTAAATACTGTAGTGTAGGATGTTTCAGCACTACCTCAAATGCTAGCTCTGCCTCCAGTGATAGGTAAAGGTACCCCTGCCCATACGGGCCAGTCTTGACAGACTCTAGGGTTGTGCGCTCATCTCACTCTAGAGGCTGGGAGCCAGCACTGTCCGCAGACACTTCCGGGTCACGTGGCCAGCGTGACGAAGCTACTCTGGTGAGCCAGAGCCGCACACGGAAACGCCATTCACCTTCCCGCTAGTAAGCGGTCCCTATTTATCTACTTGCACCCGGGGGTGCTTTCGATCTGCTATGTTGGCAGGCGCTGGGACCGAGCAGCGGGAGCGCACCCCGCAGCGGGGATTCGAACCGCCGACCATGCAATCGGCAAGTCCTAGGTGCTGAGGTTTTACCCACAGCGCCACCCGCCTCCAGTGATAGAACCGCTTTATTTAAAAGAGGCCCAGCCTGCTTTGGCAGTTGTTGACTCTGACAGAGTGAAAGCTGTAATTCCACTAGGGCTTGTGAGCTGAAGTCCTTTGAGCCAGAGAAGGGAAACTTTACACAGTAAAAGGATTATAGAAAGTTTTGCTGCTTTTTCTTTAGATAGGAGTGCAGAGCATTCTGATCCTCCATGGAGACAAAGCATTAATACAGAATGCATTTAACCTTAATTTATATTATTGCTGTATGAAGTAAGAAGGGCCTGTCAGCAACTGTTACTCATGACATCTAAATGGAAATGCAATCTTCAGAGAGATTGGTGGGTGTTAGATAACAGGGGCCAACAATAAGAGATGACTATCATTACCTTCATGCTGTGAGATCTTCCAGATAAGAGGGGGCTACATTTTATGAAGACACACTTCTCTACAGGATGTTTCAAACAACACATGATTATTACTCAGAAATACTCCCCTCTCATTGATGATTATGAACTATAATAAATATTTCAAAAATAGTAAAAGAATTTGCTATTTAAACTTGAATATATCCAGGACCTTGTCTCCCCACCCCACCCCCACAAAAAAGCCCCAGGGTATTTTGAGTTATTTTGGCAACAAAATGTCTTGGGCTGCATACACACCATGCATTTAAACAACATCTCCCAGACCACAAAAAAGTATCCCAAGAACTATTATTTACCCCTAAAGTTCCCAGGATTTGAGAAAGGGAAAATGTGTTTTAAATATACAGTGGGAACACAGTCTTGGCCTGATCTGGCTTGTAAAACAGTTCACTAACCCATGGAAACATTACAAAATGTGCTTTCGGACATCTTCAGTGAATTTGTTCTTTCCCCTGATTATCCCTTTCTGTGCCAGTTTCTGAGAGTGGATGCAATGTGCTCTGGCTGCAGACAGAATGGCCCAAGAAGAAAGAGTTGCAGAGATTTCCATTCTGGGTTGTTACTGGGAAGCTTAAGATACAATCCACTTTTGCTACTCCTATAATTTGCAGCCCTCCTTCCCCGCCTTGATACCGCTAAAGCTGCTCTCGTTTTTGTCGCCCCTTTATTCTGTCCCGAGCAAGTCAAACAGCTACCGGGATTGATCAGTTCGTTAATTGCAGTAATTTTACCTTAAATGCAGGCAGCTGAGTGATCATCAAGTCACAAATTTCGCTGTTGAGTAAGACCTCCCCCAAGCAAAATAATTAGGGGATAATAACAAGTGGGTCATAATAAATGCAACACACAACAAATGTGCTCTAAGGACATGAAGCAGAGTCAGAAGGGCTATTAGAGAACCCCTGCGACTTTGCTCCCTTTTTTTGAAGAGGGGGGAGAAAAGAAAAACAATGCAATATCCTTAATTGTCTCTTGTAAACGGGAATCCAGCTCATCAACCAGCTCTGTTGGTTTGTTATAAATAAGACCCAATTATTCCCCTTTTGGCAGCCTCTTGTGTCCAGAGAACAGCTTCCCAGTGTCATCAGCACAGATGAGAACTGCCACCTCAATTTACACCCATGCATAAAAAGCTGTAATGGAAGGCAGTAGGAGATACGCACTTAAGTTAATTACAGTATTCTCAGACCTGCACCTGACAGAAACCAATTTGCCACAGCTCCCCTAAGTCTCGCACAGCTATTTCAGCCTCCGCTCCCTACCGCCTCGCCAACAACTCCAAAGGTGTGGGTTCAGGTGTTGAGGGACGCAAAGCCTGCCCACCACGCCATCAAATTATGTTGGGGCTTCTACTCTGGCGGTTCCCTCACTGCGAGAAGCCAAGTTACAGGGAACCAGGCAGAGGGCCTTCTCAGTAGTGGCGCCTTCCCTGTGGAACACCCTCCCACCAGATGTCAAAGAGAACAACAGACTCACCAGGCTTTTAGAAGACATCTGAAGGGCGAGCCCTGTTTTGGAAGCTTTTAATGTTTGGATGTATTATAGTATTTTAATATTCTTTTGGAAGCCACCCAGAGTGGTTTGGGGAAGCCCAGCCAGATGGACTGGGTATAAAATTATTATATTATTATTATTATTATTAATTATTATTGATTATTATATATATTACTCTCATCCACCTTGATGCCCAGATCAGGGTCCCACTCTATAAGCACAATTAGGATAAAGGGCTGGAAATGACCTTAACGATGGCTTTCGGCTGGCAGTGTCTTAAAGACCCATCTCCTCCCTGACGATGATCATCGCTCTGCTGCCCTTTCTAGAGTCTTCCCACCCTTCAGGATAGTCAGGCAGTAATTAGAGAGCTTTGTTGGCTGTGGCATCCAGTGGGTCAATGGTAGAGGACCATTTCCAGCCCAAAGGCAACCTTCTGGGGCCCATGTGTCAATAGCAAATGGGGCACTGGATGGGATTATTTCCTTTATGCAACCATGCAGTGCTCATATACTGTACACACACACATACATCTAGCCAAGCAGGAAGCATTATCACAGTTCAAGGATGTGCCCCTGGGCAAGGGGGCATAGTCTGGGCAAAGTGCCAAGGTCCAGAGGAGGAGAGCTTGACGATTGCTTTCAGCCCCAAGTCAGATGTTCCCCATCCCTGACACGTGAATGTCACTACCCAGGAAGGCTTGCCTGGTACAAAATTTCTCAGCAGCAAGGGAAGACATTTTTCTTTGGGGTCTGGGGGATATTATTTATTACAGAATGTCATCTGTTTGAAATCACAGTATTTTATTGTCACTGCTAATCTGATTCATTTTTTAAAATTGCTCTGGAGTCATTGTTTTGTTTATTCTTATTGACAATGGCACAATGGCTCTCTGTGTGTGGTGGAACAGAATCTCCCTCCCAACTCCAGCATTGTTGTTTCTTACCTGGACCAGGCTGGGCAAGAGGTTAAGAGACTGGCCAATCCAGCAATTCCTCTGGTGCAACTGCTTGGCCTCAACTACTTAGAATCATAGAATCATAGAGTTGGAATAGACCACAAGGGCTATCGAGTCCAACCCCCTGCCAAGCAGGAAACAGGTAAACAGCAGTGACACTAGATGATGGTTCTGCACCACCACTGCTTATTGGTGATTTGTCAATCTGGAAGTTGAATTGAGAGCCAAAACCCCTTTTCATGTTAGAACAAAACTGGATGTTTTCTGGACCGTACTTCTAAGGCCACTGGTTGAGAGACCAACAAAGGGTTTGAAAACCATATCTCAATCCCACATTGTATCTCTTTCTGGGTCTTTGCTTACTCGCCTTCTTAGCTATTGAAGTGTGTTTTCATACTGTTTACATTCCTTCTTAGTCTAATACAAAACCATTTCTTTCCCCGTTGTTTTTTTTTTTTTTAGTTCACAGAACCTCTCTCATCAACAAAAACAAATCCAACAACTGATTACAAAATTAAATTACAAAACAGAAAAGAAGACATTTTGGAAACGTATCTAGTTCTTTATTGATTAAATACAGCATTAAAAATAATATAAACCATCGTTTTTTTAAAAAATACACACACGCACACACACAAGTGAGCTTTACCATTTTATGCCTTGCCACTTTAACTGCCATCAATAAAATTTCTAGAGACACAAAAAGACAGTGAAAGTGATGACAGACCATCAATATTATGGACAGATTTGGGCCTACACCATCTATCCCCCTCAAATGTTAGTTTCTCTCGGGTTTTGCTCCTGCACACATAGCTTTTCGCAATACTCATTTCACATTACTCTTGTTAGCATTTGAGGAATCCGAGTCATTTTCTTTCATTCCCCAAGCTATTCATTCAAATTGGCCCCAAGTACAAAACTTAATTTTCATATCTTGGAAGCAGAGATTGGCCTCTCTTCTACCTTGACCTTTTCGGAGTTACCAAAATTGCCACCTTGCACCCTTTATCATAAAGGATCAAAGCATACTCTCTGCTTGGCAAGCCTGCTACACTCTTAAAGTTCTACACCAGCCTTCCCCAAGCTTTGGACTACAACTCTCAACACTCCTGGAAAATTCCCCATGCTAGCTGGGTGGGAGTATGCAGAGGGCACCAGGTTGGGGAAGACTGTTCTGTACTGACTATTTCCATGCATTGGCATGAAACAATTTTGCACAGTGGATGTAGAGTGCACAATACCTATTAAAAAAATACTCAAGGGATTTTGTAGGCAATTCTGTATTCTTTTAAGGCTATGCTGTGCCATGTAGATACTTTCCTAAACACATCTGAGTCACCCAGCCTGTGTTGCTCAGTACATCTGTTAGTACTTTTCCAGAAAATTCTAATGGATTTCTGCACCTATCCTTTCTCTGGTAAAAGTCTACAAAGGATGAGAAATGCAAAGTTGGAAATGTTTATGCTGAGCAAGACATGACTCCTGCACTCTGGTCAGAATGAAACGACACAGCTTTAGAAGAAAACAGCTTCCACATAAACTATTCCCCGCCCCCATCTGTATGGTTAAATAAAACTTGCTTTGTGTTGCGATGTCACCATGATTCCCTACTTCCTTGCCCCCAGCACTGACTATCAGCGAGGTTGGGAAACGAAAACACTGGCGGTAATGATACCAAGACATGGGGTTAGGATAGACTCAACCTTACACAGAGGGAAGGAAGAGGAGATTTACATGCTGTTGCCATTTTTACCAGGAGACACCTCTTCATGCAATTTCTCATTCCGACCTCCAATAAAGCCCCAAGGGATTTGTGAACTACCCACGCATCACCTCTCAACGCCACCCATTTACACTGGAGGGCAAGGAGTCAGATGATACTATAAATGGGGCTAAGGAAGGAAAGTACAGGGCAAGTGGAAAGTAACTTCCCAGGTTAATTTGCTTTCTTCCTATCTAAATGGCAACTCATTCACCAGATGTTACATGCAACAGCCCTTGATCCTCTCTTCAAAAGGCAGCCTTAGGAGGGCATGATTGACAGCTGGGCAGCAGGGAGAGGCATTAACCGTTTCCCTCCTAGTGTAGGCAGCTTCTCCCCTCCCCGCTGCAAAAGAAGAAATGGGGTTTCAGATACATGCTTCCTTCCTTCCAAAGCTGCTTTTCTAGAGATCAGATGTGTAATGCATGTTTGTATTAAAGGTGGACTCCCCGCCCTACTCATCCACCCTCAAGCACGAATTCCTTTCTTATGCTGACAAAATGCCTCCTTCTAAACCCTTTTATGTCCAAATGAGGCAATCTTCTGGCATATTTGTTCATATTTTGCTCTTCTGACAACATCAGCTGTGGTGTTTGGACTAAGAAAGGGTTTAGCTTTCTCACGTCCACTAGTTTGGAAGTGGATAACATGAAATAACCATTTAAATGTCTCTGTTAGTTGACATTTTCAAAATAAATAGGCCCTCTTTTAAGTCACAAGTGCAAAATACAGATATTCAAAACTACCAATTTTGAGAAACCCTCTACACATTTAGGTGGATATTTTGGCCTTTTAAAAAATGTGAGCAAACAAGGAAAGGAGGATCTTTAAGTACAGATCATCGCTTTCTCCAGAACAACCTAGATCATTTCAACAGGCTTTTGGTAAATATACCTACAAACACAACGTTTTAAAAATGTAACACCAAAGAAACAATGAAGACATGAAGACTAAGAACGTTATATGGCTCAGGTGTTTCTGGATTGTCTTGGTCATAACGAAAAGACTTGTTAGGGCCAGTATAGGAAGACAAGTCTCTGCTGGGGAGTTTCTCTAAAGGAAAAAATTATTACAACCAGACAGGGATGTGAAATCCAATCTGAATATTAAAAAGGTTGAATTAAACAGTAATACTGAGATGGTTTACTCTAATCAAATAGCAACATGTATGTGGAACTGTGTGTGCACACACAAATACATGTTTGTGCACTGAACTGCGATGTCAAGGCTGCATCCCAGAAGACATTGCACACCTACAGTTGTGCATAGTTAATATGTCACCAACACTGTGCTTGGGACATTAGCATTTTGAGGGCAGAACTTCTCCTCTACATTCCGGGCAATTTGGTTGCCTATTAAGCCCTTCAGAAACAAAATGAAGCAAAATGCAGATAACCCCAGCTTCTATCCGAGAAGCCTTACTTCTTTAGAAAGTGTGCAGGCGTTACATGACAGCACATTTGTTCACTGGGGTGTCTTTCCACTAATGTGAGAACCTGAAGCTTGCGCATTAAAAGAATCAAACCCAGACGATCTCCATCAATTTCTTCAAGGACAAGACTGTCTCTTTTTAAAACTTTCTTTCCAGTAGTCCTTTACTACAGGCATTCACATCCTATAGAAGCTCTGCTACCCCAATGTAACCCTTCAATTAGCCACAAGTTCATGTGAACAGTTAAAGGGAATTGCTTCTTTTTTCACAGCCTCCCATTAAAATAAAAATAAAAATCCAGGAATAAAAAATTCATCCCCACCCCAGCCCCATTTGACTATTTGTTTAACATAATTTCCAGCTAGGTCATTTCCCTCTCGCCAGTCTTCCTAGAGTGTCCTTGGAAAAGATGGGTTTTGTCTTATAACCCATTCTGCATGAGGATTCACATGGTACAGGTCTAAGAGGTATGTGTCTGGGTCCAAGCAATGTTCACCTGTTGGGATAGAGAAAAAAAATATTTTAAAGAAACCATTCCAAAAAAATATAGACCTCCTGTGCCTGGTAACTTTGGGTAACTTAGTTGCAGATTATTTAATAAACTCCCTAACAGTGTCAGGACTTTGGAGAATATTATCTCCTATCACTTTCTGGATTACAAGTATTGTGAGTTGTGGAGTGGGTGGGTTGCCTATAAGCATGAGCCCCTTCTTGTTCCTGAATCCACCAAGGATTCAATTGCTGAAATAGCCAGGCCAGCTTCTTGGTGAGCTAAAGGCCACTCTAAATATAGGTTATTAGGGTAACAAAGAAAGTGGCTTTGTGCCAGAGGTCAAATGGGTGGGCCGCCGCCCTCTACACCTGGGTGTTGATGAGAAGGACAAGGGCCAGAGGTGTGTAAGAGCTGGGCTGGAAGAAGACTGCCAGCAGAAGCCATGCTTGATTTCTGCTTGAATCCAAGGCTGTGGCTATGGGAGAAGCAAGCATAGGCGCCGACTCCATGGGGCTTGAGGGGGCCCGAGCCCCCTCAAAAATTCGTTTGGGGGGGCTCAGCCCCCCCAATAATCTCGGGCGGCGGTGGGCGCGTCCGCGGCTTTTATAGGGCGCCCGGCGCGCACCAGCTCGATAACGGGCACCAGCGCGGCGGGGGGCGCCGGGCCGGGGGAGGGGGGCGGCCGGCCTGTCTCCTTGGCAACCCCATTGAGCAGCGCCGGCTCCCCCGGGAGGGCCATCCCCCCGCGCCGCCGATCGCCAACACCGCCGACGCTGTGGCTGCCCGAGCCCGACCCCGAGCCTGAGCCCGACCCGGAGCCCGAGCCTGAGCCTGAGCCCGACCCGGAGCCCGAGCCCGACCCGGAGCCCGAGCCCGAGCCCGACCCGGAGCCCGACCCCAAGCCCGTCAGTCAGTCAGTCAGGAAGGAAGGAGAAATGGGGAGGGAGACGAGGGAGGAAAATTGCGCGCAGGGTGAAGAAAGGAGAAGGGCGAACGAGACGAGCTTCCAACCCAAAAAAGGGCTGGAAGACTGGGAGGATGCAGGATCGGGAAAGAAAGCGACGCCTTCCCCGCCCGCGACGTCGCCCGCTTGTCATTGGCAGCGCAGCGGGCGCCCAGAGGGGCTGGGCACCGGCGCAGGGCCGCTCCGCAGCCGCGGAGGACAGCTGCGCGGCTAGCAAGGTGCGCCGCGTAGAGCGCGGCCCTTGTGTGGCCCGGTGGCCAGGCAAGCTCGGGCGGGGACCCCCATGCGAATCTAAGACGGGAGAAGAGGGCAGAGCAAAGGGGGTCCCTTCCCCAACCTCCGGCTCTGAGACTTCCCTGCGCCCCAGAAAAGCGAAAGGATTTTGTCTTCTTTTTTTTTATAAATATTTTATTAAGTTTTCAAATACAAAGTTAGAAACATACACTGAAGAAAAAAGTAAAAGAACAAGAAAAAGAAAAAAAAGAAAAAGAAGAAAAGAAAACCAACCATTCAACACATTTTTTATATAACTAACTGGACTTCCTCGCATCTCCCTTACCCTGCATTCTTTATAATAAAGATATCAGCAAATTATTACCTTGTTTCGTACCTTATTTTGTACTTTTCAAATACTATACCTCTAAATTTAACATACTTTTCATCAGTTACTTATATCTTAAATTAAACATAGTATTACCTTAGATTTTGACCTTTTCTTACTTAAAATATAATTTCCTGTTTCCCAAATCTAATTGCTGAAGCTATAGTTTCCGAATCGTGTAAATTTTTAACATTCATACAACTTATATTGTTTTTGTAAATAGTCCTTAAATTTTTTCCAGTCCTCTTCTGTTGTTTCTTCTCCCAAATCTCGGATTCTGCCAGTCATTTCAGCCAGTTCCATGTAGTCCATCAATTGCGTCTGCCACTCTTCCAGTGTGGGCAAATCTTGTGTCTTCCAATATTTTGCGATAAGTATTCTTGCTGCTGTAGTTGCATACATAAAGAAAGTTCTATCCTTCTTTAACACTTTCTGGCCAACAATGCCCAAGAGGAAGGCCTCTGGTTTCTTGGGAAAGGTATACTTAAATACCTTTTTTAACCCATTATAGATCATTTCCCAGAAGGCCTTCACTTTTGGACAAGTCCACCAGAGGTGAAAGAATGTCCCTTCAGCCTCCTTACATTTCCAACATTTATTATCAGACAGGTGATATATTTTTGCAAGCTTGACTGGGGTCATGTACCACCTATAAATCATTTTCATAATATTTTCCTTCAAGGCATTACATGCCGTGAATTTCATTCCGGTGGTCCATAACCTTTCCCAGTCCTCAAACATGATGTTATACCCAATATCCTGAGCCCATTTTATCATGGCTGATTTGACTGTCTCATCCTGAGTGATTTTCTCTTCAACCTGCCCTCCATCCTCTTGCAGAAAACTCTTTGCCTGCCCTGCCCGTATCTCGTTTTTGCTTTTTAATTTCACACACGCACCCTTCGGACTTCGTGGCAATCAGGCGCGCGTGTGCGTTTCCTAAGAGAGTGAGGACCCCCGCCTCCTCCCCACCTGCTCCCTCGCCAGCCAGCCAGCCGCGCGCCCTAGCCGGAGAGCCCCGGCCGTCCCCGTCGCGCAATCGGCTGGATCTCCCTTCAGCAGGCCGTGCTCACAACTCGGCCCAGGGACCCCCAGCAGCGGATCTCCGGCTCAGCTGAAGAATCCGGCAACAAGCCCCCTCCTCCCCAATCGCTCCGCCGAAATACGCTCCAAAACCCCCCAGATAGGCCACCTGCTGCCAAGTCTAGTGGCGCCCTGAGCGAGGGTCTCTCCCCAACACCGCCACCTCAAACTGCGTTCTCCCGGCTACCCGAGCGAACCAGCGGCAGGACCCCGGTATGGGCCCCCCCAATATTTTTTATAAGTCGGCGCCCCTGGAAGCAAGACAGTATAGAGCTACAGGAACTCATGAGCCAACTTGTTATAAGGCAGTTTCCTATGTTCCTAATCAAGGCTAAAAAAGAGATAGAGGCATAATCATTAACCACATCACGGGAGAAGTGTTTTCAGGAGGACTAAGTGAAACTGTGAAGCTCTCTTCTTATTTTTGCTTTTGGATACTGCTTGTCATTTAGGTAATGTTGTTATATTTATAGCACTGAAATGTGGGTTTTGTACATTATTATATCTGCTATTGTTTTGTTATTATGATTATTAGGAAATTGTTACTATGAAATTGTTTCTGTACTCTTTGTTTGAAATGTATTTCTGTTTTCTTTGTTCAAAGCCACTTCGAGCATTTTTTTTAAAACCAGCTTACTTGGTTATTTGCTTGATTATTAAGGAAATGCCTTTAAGCAACCCTATGTGGCCCAGCAAGGCTTAAGCCTGCTAATTCCTAGTGGTTCCCCATTTTGATTCATTTCTAGGACAACTGTTTGCTTCAGCTGCCCACCTCTTAACCCACTAACTCACATTCCCCACCATGAAAAATAAAATGACAACAGTTCAAATTTACATACTTATGTTGCCGCCGACTTCATAGAAGAGCAGGTTCATCGTATCTACCGAACCATTACTGCAAAATTTAAAAAACACACACACTAATTATAACCATTTCCAAGACAAAGAGGCTAATATATATATATATATATTGGAATTGCTCTAAATGAGAGTTCTGCAACATGGTGCGCCTTCCAGCTGTAGCTCAGAACTATATTTCCCATCATCCCTGACTATCAGCCATGGAAGGCATTAGGTTGGGGAAAACTGTTCTAGACCTGAGGATGGCCAGCTCATGTTAAAACGGTATAGTGGATTGGAAAATATCCTTTAAGGTTGCCTTTAAAAAAACATGCACATTAAATGTAATGGATCATTTTAAGTAATATGGACGCGGGTGGCGCTGTGATCTAAACCACTGAGCCTAGGGCTTGCCGATCGGAAGGCCGGCGGTTCAAATCCCCACGACGGCGTGAGTTCCTGTTGCTCGGTCCCAGCTCCTGCCAAACTAGCAGCCTGAAAGCATGTCAAAGTGCAAGTAGATAAATAGGTACCACTCCGGCAGGAGTTTCCGTGCGCTGCTCTGGTTCGCCAGAAGCGGTTTAGTCATGCTGGCCACATGACCCGAAAAACTGTCTCCAGACAAACGTCGGCTCCCTCGGCCAGTAAAGCGAGATGAGCGCTGCAACCCCAGAGTCTTCCGCAACTGGACTTAACTGTCAGGGGTCCTTTACCTTTACCTTTTAAGTCATATATATGTATTCTGGTCTTTTTATTTTGTACACCGCCTTGATAAGTTTTATGTGACAGGTTGTACTGAGTATTTTTGAAATAAGTAAAGCAAATAAAAAAACTTAATAAGGTTTTTCCAAATGCTTCATTGCTCTGTTCTCTCCCCACCCCACCCCTGGCATTTTTAAACAGCAAAACTAGTTCAAGAGTGTCAACTGTTTGAGTCACAGGTGTCAATGGGTTCACTCTAGTCTCTTTCTTCTTCCTCAAGGTGGGATGAGTCCTCTGGTTGCCATAGATACCACATATCTGAACGGATCTATGCACAAAATCAGCATTCACATTCCACTTGTAGAAGAAGACTATGATTTTATTACATGCCCAATCAAGCATTTAAAACTACCAGTCAATGTGTTCAGGGAGGTTACCTTGGTTTCTATAACGCTTTAATTTCATAAAGTTGTGGAACAATTTCCTCTGCATAATGCGCTCTCTCTCTCTCTCTCTCTCTCTCTCTCTCTCTCACACACACACACACAAACTTCTAATTTTGCATCTCACTCCCTTCCTCTTACCACTCCCCCAAAGAATCCTGGGAACTCTAGTTCAGAAGCTGAAAAGCTTGTTAGCAATCCCAAGCCTTCCCCCTTTTCACAGAATTACAGTCCTGGAGTTTGCTGGGGGAAAGGAACGGCTATCGAAGGAAATGCTCTTAGGGCATACGAAGACTTGAGTGGGTTTGAGGTTCTGATATGTATACAGCGTACCTTGGAAGTCGAACAGAATCCATTCTGGAAGTCAGCTCGACTTTCAAAACGTTTGAAAACCAAAGTGTGGCATCTGATTAGCTGCAGGAAGCTCCTGCAGCCAATCTGAAGCCCCGTCAGACGTTCAGCTTCCAAAACAAAGTTCGAAAAGCAGAACAGTCACTTCTGGGTTTCGATTGTTCGGGAGTTCGTTCGGGAGCCAAAACGTTCAAGAACTAGGCTGTTCAACTTCAAAGTTACAACTGTATTCTGTTACCCATTACATTCAAGTTACAGGGAACCAGGCAAAGGGTCTTCTTGGTAGTGGCACCCACCCTGTGGAACGCCCTCCCACCAGATGTCAAAGAGAACAACAACTACCAGACTTTTGGAAGACATCTGAAGGCAGCCCTGTTTAGGGAAGCTTTTAATGTTTGATGGATTACTGTATTTTAATATTTTGTTAGAAGCTGCCCAGAGTGGCTGAGGAAGCCCAACCAGATGGGTGGGGTATAAATTAATTAATTAATTAATTATTACTATTATTATTATTATTAATGCCTGGGCTGTGGACTGGTTTTCATACTCACATAAACCCTTTTAGCTTCTCCTCCCAATAGCAGTTTCACCCCCAACCCGAAAAAAGCTTTCCTCTGAAGTTAGGGGCTCTCAAGAGCAGCACCCAAACCTGACCTAAGGAGTTGCCAGCAATGGTTTAAAAAGACCACAACCACTGGATGGTCTCCCCCTGTATCCAGAAACATTTGCACACTGTGCATGGAAGACACAGTTCCCAGCTATCAACTACTGTGCCCCATCAGTGCACAATGGGGCTTTCTGCCCCTCCGCATGCATGCATCCTATGCACTCCCCAGATCTGCTCCAGACCATTGGGGGAGGGGGACGCTAAAAGACATTTAGCGGGTGTGTGGGGATAATTATATTAATGATTTGTTATTATTTATATGCTGCCCATCCAGGGCTGGATTTAGGTTTGATGAGGCCCTAAGCTACTGAAGGTAATGGGGCCCTTTATATGTCCAGCTGTCCTTTGTCATCAACAAATTGAATATATGCTATATGGAAATTTATGGACCTAACAGGTATCTAAAGCCATTTGCACATAACAAAATTTGTTTTTTATCAAATTTGTTTGTTTTTTATCTTATATTTTGGAAGTGTATTTCCAGGCTTTTTTTCCTTTAAATTTTATTTTGGGGGGAGGGCCCAAGAGAGAGGGGCCCTAAGCTATAGCTTGTTTAGCTTATCATGTAAATCCGGCACTGCGCCCATCTGACTGGGTTACCCCAGCCACTCTGGGAGGCTTCCAACAAATTAGAACACAATACGACATCAAACATTAAAAACTTCCCTAAACAGGGCTGCCTTCTAGATGTCTTCTAAAAGCCAGATAGTTGTTTATTTCCTTGACATCTGATGGGAGGGCGTTCCACAGAGTGGGCGCCACTACCAAGAAGGCCCTCTGCCTGGTTCCCTGAAACCTCTCAGTGAGGGAACTGCCAGAAGGCCCTCGGAGCTGGACCTCAGTGTAAAATCTGAGAGGGAGAGAACGTTTCCTTTGACACAGAGAAATTCTTGCACTGACAGACCACTGGCGTAGCTCAACATTGGATTCCACTTGTAGAAGATGAAAAAAGACTGATTTAAGTGACACAGCAGAAGTGCCCTTCATTAAATGCTGCTCATCTCAACAGACATTAAAAAAAGCCTCCTGCCTAATCACGCATAAAGAAGACAAGCTACATTTCCTTCTAAGCTAAGGAGAGGAGGTGCTTTTACCATTTGATAAGTTTGACCGTGTTGACAATATTCCAGCCGTTTTGACAGAGGTTCTTCTGGAACTGCCTCAGGACATCTGCAGCTTTGGTTCCACTGGTTAAGCGAACTTCCAGGGAATCCTTTAGGAACGGGGAAGCCTGGACTTTTACTATTTTGGATGGCTGGAAGATGAAGGAGGCAGTATTAGGGGGCGGCGGGAGGAAACTTAGATGTAAGGAAATCCAAAGCATGTGCACAAAACATGAAGACCTAATCAAACACTGTTTGAAAATGCTTGTTATCCTCCAAGTAAAATGGTTATGTATGCTCTTCTCCATAAGCAGGCAAAGGGCAGGATGGATGCAAAGCAACAAAGATTAAATTTGATTCCGTCACACAGCGTGAGAAGCAGTAGCATTTGACTAGAGTTAATAAAGTAAGCATGAGTGCCCCCTGGTGTTTACACAAGGAAAGTGTTTGTTTTCAAGCAGAAAATTTCACCATCAGCCAGTTGACCATGCAAATAATTTCTCTCTCTCCATTGAGCAAATCTCATATACAGCAATTAAAAAACAACCAAAAACCTGCATGCCAGGCATCTCAGAGTTTGGTTGCCGCTGAGAACCAAAAGGTCCACACAAAACAGATTTCTGGGGAATCATTTGATTTAAAAAAGCAAACAAGAAATATCAGATGGGCCTAGGTCACTTCTAGATAACCTGTTTACTGGACTTTCATCCTGATTTTTTTGCACAAGTTTTGCAAGGTGGTTATAAACATATGTTGGCTATTCGCTGAGCATTCATTCCAATTTAGTTCGCAGGGAGGTTATACAATGTTGTCTAAAGCAATTCTGGGTTTCTTAAGGTGGTATGCCATGCCAGAATGCCAGTCCCTTTTTAATTGCACAACCTGAATCTGTAAGAACATGGTTGGCTCCCACCTACAAAGCTAGAAGTGTCCTCAGACAAGAAGAGGTTTTTTTTTTTAAGTACAGATCTAAGAGGCATCAAACCACAGGATCCCATGTATCCTACAACTGCTGCTGTTGCCTCTCTGAGAACCAACAGCCAAACATGCTAGTGGCCCACTAATTCCTTGAAAGTTCTATCTGTATCTCTCCCAGCTTATTATGCTAAATCACTCACGCTTGCAAATCCAATCTAACTCTGAGTCAACATGCGAAGACTTATCCTACAGTTTGCATGTGCCAAAAGACAATTGCAAGTGGGCCTGGCTGGCCACAGTTCCATCTTCTAATGCAGCCTTCAGCAACCTGGAATCCTCCAGATATTTTGGACTACAACTCCCAGCTCCCATCAGCTCCAGCCAGCATGGCTGGCGGGGCATCAATATTTCTGGATGGGAGTTTCTGGAAACTGCAGGGGAGAGAGTGCTCTTATGATTGGGTCTTGTTTGAGCCCCTACAGGGATCAAAGTGGCCACCGAGAGAACAGGATGCTGGACTTCATGGGCCAGGTCCAGCAGGCTCTTCTTAAGTTCTTATGGAATTGTAGGCCTAGATACCTAGAGGACACCAGCCTGGTGAAGGATGCTCTTAACGCGTCAACAATGCATTAACAATGCAGTGGGCGATGAGGATTTCACTCACTTCGCCATGGTTTTTCTCTGTCTTCTCCTTGTCCAGATTAATCTTCCTTAACAGGTTTTTGATCCTCCTGTCACAGAACTGGTACCTCCTGCTGCTGCTCTCGTTCAGTTTTCTCACTTGAGAAACCAAGAAAGATGCAACCTAAGAGGGAATGCAAAAAAAGAAAGAGGTGTGAGGCTGTTGTCATTCTGAAAGTATCTCCTGAAGAGAGGAGAAACAGAAGGTATGTAGAGAGGGGTAGATGGGAGGGAAACCTTTCTGGCACAGCAGGCCAAACCTTCTTTTTAGGATCTTTTATTCCAAAACTCTGTACCTACAGCTATGTTCTACCTCCATTGCCAGAAGCAGCACACCTCTGAATAACAGCTGCTCTGAATAACACAAAGAGTGTTGTTACAATTAGAGCTGGGTGATATCTTGTTTTCAACACTGTGGTATATCAACAGCCAAATTCCACAATATTCCGATCTATCGCAATGTCTGGAATGTATCTCGGCTGCTTCTTTCTGCCCATCTTAGGGGACGAAGCTGAGATACATCACCCAGCCCAAGTTCCCATACCTCTCCAACTCACACGAGCCAGGGAGTGGGGTGGGGGGCTTCCTCAAAGGTGCAGGCAGACAGGAAGACGGAGGCCAAGAGGGAAGAAATTATTTTCGTTGTCAAAAATAAGCTGCATTCAGAATGGAGGGGGAAGGAAGTCAATTTGTCTGCAGGCAATTTGAGCTGGGAATTCATCATGGCTCTCCGGCCACCGCGATGTACTGCCAGCTCAAAAACCAGTATCATGATCTGATACTGTTTCAGACAATTTTCCCAGCTCTAGTTACAATCAGGTCCTGCTTCTGGGCTTCCCATAGGCATCTGTAAGACCAGGATAGCTGGACGAGCGGAAAACAATAATAAATTGACAATGCTGGACATTGCGGCCAACAGGATCAAAAAGATTGAAAATATTACCCATCTAACAGAGCTCCAAGAATTTTGGATGAATGATAACCTCATTGAGTGTTGGAACGACTTGGATGAGCTGAAAGGAGCCAAGAACTTGGAAACAGTCTACCTGGAGCGAAACCCACTGCAAAAAGATCCCCAGTACTGACGCAAAATCATGCTGGCCCTTCCATCTGTCCGACAGATTGATGCCACCTTTGTCCGGTTCTGAACCCTCTCCAGTCCCTTACCTTCTTCCTTCCTTCCTTCCTTCCTTCCTTCCTTCCTTCCTTCCTCCCTCCCTCCCTCCCTCCCTCCCTCCCTCCCTCCCTCTCTCTCAGAGTGTCACAGATGGGATTTTCATCCATACTGCATCCTCTGTTTTCAGCCCTCTGACACTTAAAGAGCAAACGGCTAACCAAGAGCACTGATAACAGACCTTGCGTATAATGCACACACTTTTTGTTTCTTGATTATTATTATAGCTGGACGAAATGGGCCACTGGCCTCACCCAAGAGGCTCTTATGTTCTATATAGCTGCCATTTTAAATGCCAAAAAGTTATTTAAATATAGAGTTTTATCAATGGAAATTCTATGGGACCAAAATGGCGTCCGGCACTCTTCTTAGCTGCGCCACTGCTGTCTGTGCCGGTAAAAACCTCTCCAGCCTCTTTAGCCTTATAGCAGAGTTTACGCAGCGGGGGAAACTGTTGCTTGTGTGGGTAATAACTCAGACTGCATGCAGGCTTCTTGCTTATCTCCAACAGTCTTTTATTGCGTAGAATAACATAGTAAATTCAGCCCGGTGAAAAACCAGACATGCTCTCCGCTTCTCGGCAAAAGCGAAAGAAGAAAGACACACAGAGAAACACTCCCCTCTGTGAACATAGCCATGCCTCAGAATGTGAGACGTCACTCAGAACTGCTTAACCCTGTAAGTTCTGATTCTCCCCACAAATTCAAGGATGACTCGGAAAATATGGCCCCAACTTACAGTCCAGAGTAAATCCTGATAATGGATCATCATCCGCACCACGTCCGCCGCACCCTCGGCCAGCTGTTTCTCCTTCCCTTCCGGGATCTTGTTCGGCAGCCCCTTGTGCATGAAGAGATTTGGAGCAATGACTGTGGAAACGTTCCAAAGATTCATCTTGTTTTTCCGCTCCCTGGTAACCACCAGCCTCAGAAACTCCAGCAAAGCCTGAAAGAGGGGAGGAAAATTATTTTCTGTTATCAAACATCAGCTGTAGGCAGCAGGGAGAGAAGTCAAATTGTCTCTGGGTTCTGAGATGATGAATATGAGAGAGTGCTTGCAGACAACATATTTGCAACATTGTGATGTAAGAATGTTGTCCGTACAGCGATACCACAGTTTTAAAAGGATGAGTTTGTATATCATTTTGCACTCTGCAGTCAGGGCACTACGATGCCCAGGAGGTGGCGATATTACCTTCAGGGTGTTTCGGTTGGGTTCTGGTAAAATCAGTATAAGCAGATTGAGAGCCTGCAGCCTCTGTTTCAGATCTGGGATATCTATAATGGAAGGAACAATTGACATCCAAAATTACTGGGAAGAAGAAAATACTGGCCTAGAAGCTCTGCCTCTTTAAAATTGCATTTTATAGACAGTCAAACCACGTAATCCGTTCCGGAAGACCATTCGACTTCCGAAACATTCGACAACAAAGGAGCAGCTTCTGATTGGTTGCAACAGCTTCCTGAACCCAGGCAGAAGCCGCGTCAGATGTTCTGGTTCCGAAAAACGTTCTGAAACCAAAACACTTACTTCCAGGTTTTTGGCGTTTGGGAGCCGAAACATTTCAAAATGGAGGCATTCGGGAACTGAGGTTTGACTATACCAGTAGAAGACTGTTTTACATATCAGGGCCACACTATTTCATACTCACTCTTTGCCTCTCGTACGCAGTAACTAGCATGTAATACCTAGGCAGTTTCTTAAGTAGCATGCATGGCTTAGCATGAGATGAAGACAACTCCCATAGCCTTAGAAATGTGGATTACTCCAACAGTTAATGCACACAGACAACACTATGCACCTTTAAGAGGATGGCATACCTGCCGTTGTTCCTATTCAATCACCTGACAATACCCACCCCTTACTGTGTGGAAGGACAACCTGTTGCTGTTGGGCTACAACTACAGTCATCCTTGGGGTGATGGGAGTTGACCATCTGGCAACATCTTGAGGGCAACAGGTTCCCATTCCTGGCTCACAGCCATCCGTCACTTGTATCACACTCTCCCCCCCAAGAAGCTCTGGAAAATTTAGGCTTAGCTTTACAGAGCATGACTTTGCCCAAGGTTTCTTGAGTGAGAGCTTTACGGCTGAGTAAGAAATTGACCTTGGTTATCTGACGTCCAACAACGTATCTGCTATACAACGGCCACCTAATACACTCAACAAGGAAGAAGACAGAAATCAGTGCTTAAGGTGGCAGGGCCTGATCTCTTTGGCCAAGGCCTAACTCACTTTGCACAGCTGCAAAGGCAGGTAAGTATTCTGCCGTCAGCAGAGGGGTGGGCAGTTCCCGGATGAACCTCTTCAGCAAGCCAGAGACATCATTCTGATGGACCTCATCCCACTGGAAGAAACCAGTATAGAACTCACTTTCTAGCTTTTGTTCCAGGCTCTGTGGGGGGAAAGGGAAAGAGGGGAAAGTCACATACTGAAGGTAGAAAGATTTGGAAAAAGTAAACATGAGAAGGGGTGGGGAGAAATGACTGCAATGTTTCAACAGAATAGCAATAAAAAGCAGATATGAATATTAATAATAAACCAGAGTTTGGGGTGCAGGATAAGGGAAGAAGTGGGATTTCTTTCCCTGGTGACAAAGTACTGCATTTTTAAGAACTGGGAAGACTGAGATGTCCTAGCAGGGGAAACATTTCCATGAGGAAAGTCACCTAGGATTCCAGTGTAACATGCAAGTAAAACCTATGATTTATTGCACCTTTGGGGGTGGAGAATCCACCACTGTAATTAAGACAGACCATGATATCTTTCATGCCAGCCTTCCCCAAACTGCTGCCCTTCAAATGTAATGAACTTCATATCCCATCATCCCTGACTATTGGCCACGCTGGTGGGGGCTGATGGGAGCTGTAGTTCAAAAATCCAGCAGGCTTGTAGGAAGGTTATGCTATGGGCTTGGAGTTCAGCAAAAGAGGACTATTTCTGTTTGCAGACCTTCTGGTCTGACCAGAAATACAGGCTATCACATTTTTAAAGAGGTTATTCACAGTGAAACTTCCACAAGCAACGGCAAGCACAGGAAGACATACTGAACCTTTCGCTTCCATCAACGCACGACACCATGTGGGTAGTTTTCAAATATCTACCCCCAGGGAACACTTTCCACACCAACCTGTCAGATGACGAATCTCTTAAGACTCCTGCATACTACAGAAGGTTCCAGAGCATGACTTTCAACACCACACTTTGCTCAGGCACTGTGGGGTTTTCTCCGTTGACTAACCTCACATGAACTGAGTGTCTGCTTGAAAGCAGCGGTGGGTTGACCTATGTGACCTACTTCTTCTTCGGTCTGCCAGTCCACTTTACAATTACAAAGGGATAAAGGGCACCCTCGGGATCTCGGAACTCATATGTGTCAAGCGATTCCCATTATGCACACTTGGACATGAAAAGAAGGGCAGCCACCGCAATGCTTGTTTTGGGGCATGAAGACCTAACTGCATCAGACCTCTATCGACCATCAACCTTTGCCCATGATTACCCAGGTGGTTGAGTTGCCTTCCAGCTGTGAGGATGAGCAGGTTAAGCTGTAGGTCTCTGCCCTTTAAGTGCAGGCACAATCACCTTGCTAGTCCAAGGTTGTTGTTTTTTTACAGGAATCTCAGCAACCAGAAGGTGTTAGGTTGTCCACAATAAATTAGTAATCCAGAGGTAGGCCATGGTATCCTTTTTTTATCCACCTTAGTCTGGATCATACCCAGCACTCTCCTCTGTCTGTATATCACAGGGGAATGTAGATACTGTAGCTGTAGATCATGGGTAGGCAAACTAAGGCCCGGGGGCTGGATCCGGCCCAATCGCCTTCTAAATCCAGCTCACTGATGGTCCGGGAATCAGCGTGTTTTTACATAAGTAGAATGTATCCTTTTATTTAAAATGCATCTCTGGGTTATTTGTGGGGTATAGGAATTCGTTCATTTCCCCCCCTCCAAAATATAGTCCAGCCCCCCACAAGGTCTGAGGGACAGTGGACTAGCCCCCTGCTGAAAAAGTTTGTTGACCCCTGCTGTAGATCAAAATCTATGCGGGAAGTGTGACCTTCTCATGAGGAACACCTAAGTTTCCAAGGAACTGCAGGACATTTCATAGGATATTAATTTGACCATTGAATTCTACCTTAATGCGGCTCTGTGATCCTGAAACTCTTAGGATTCCTTCCGTGTCCAGACCTTTCTTTTCTAAACACGACAGCAACTATAAAAGAAGACAGCAAAACATCATCACCAAAAGGCAACAAGGAACTTGCAATGAAGCTCAAAGCAAAGAATAGACAATGATATTTTTTTATGGGGGGGGGGGAACAAGGAGAAAAACAAATGAAGTTGTGAAATAAACTTACTGCTTGCAGAATCAATGGAACCCTGGTATTTGGGAAGAGCTTTTCGTCATTTTCTAACAAAGTGCCAAGTGAAACCCCAAAAAGCTTGCGCTCTGCAATGGAAGACACTGTGTTATAAGCATTAAAAAAAAATACTTCATCTATAAATAAATAAATATTTCTGTTTCCTCAAATAATAAGTAAGGGCACACAGCCATCCACAGGAATCCAGGAAGTGACATCACAAAGGGCCAATTATCACGATACCTGCTACATTCACACAATACTGTTATAATCAAAATACTAGCGTATATCCCCAACCCCATCAGGTTTGCCCTTATCAAGGAAAATTCAGCAAGATTTTGGTAGGGTTTTTTGTTTTTTACAAGAAAACAAAATGCTGTTGCCAATGACCCATCTGCAATACCCCAAAATACTAAGCACCCGTGTAGAACTGCCCAAAGTGCAGTTAGCCAATGCTAGTCCACACTAGTCTCTCTCCCTTTTTCTTACAGGGATAGCAGGGGAACACGTGCCGATTCAGTTCAAGGCACACATGTCTCAGATCAGGCATGGAGAAGCCATGGTGGTGCTCCAGGCCTTTTTGGACTTCACCTGTCCAGCTAGCATGGCCAATGGTCAGGGATGCGGGGAACGGGAGTTCGACAATACCTGCAAAACCCACATCCTTGCCGTACACCAAATCTGCTGAATAAAACATCTGCAAGCTCTCCCAAAAGGAGACCGCTTGCAGATAAGCCCTTTTACTCAGATAGCTGAGAACTACCAATGGTTTTCCTTCCCTAATTTTAGTCAGTGACAAGAACCACAAGATGTCAAATTCATGCTAAGAAGCAGTAGGAAAACAGGTACCTGCAGCCTTCCGCTTTACTGCTTTGTTTCTCTTCAGCTCCAAGCCAACGACGTCGCAGAGAGCAGTTAGCTCAATGAGTGCCAGCGTGGGAATCTTTTTCATATCCTGCAGAGATAAGTCTCCGATCCTGGTCACTCCCAGTCTTCCCTTGGGAATCTTAAATTTCTAAAGCAAAAGAGCAGGGGGATAGAAATTAGAGTGACATATCAGAATCAATGCAAATTATTATGTCGCTATTATTAGTTATGACCTGTTCATCTTGTGTGCCCTGCTCGGCGTAGTTCATAGCTTCTCTGAGTTCTTCAAGCCCCTTCGCCACGGCAAGGCAGTGATCCATGAAGGGCACACAAGATGAACAGGTCATAGTGGAGAGTTTTGCCCAAATGTGATCCACCTGGAGGAGGAACCGGCAAGCCACTCCAGTATCCTTGCCAAGAAAACTCCATGGACAAAGACAACAGGCATATAAAAGTTATGACGCTGGAAGATGAGCCCCTCAGGTCGGAAGGCGTCCGACATGCTACTGGGGAAGAGCGGAGGGCAAGTACATGTAGATCCAGAGCTGATGAAGCGGCTGGGCCAAAGCCGAAAGGACGCTCAGTTGCGGATATGCCTGGAAGCGAAAGGAAAGTCCAATGCTGTAAAGAAAAATATTGCATAGGAACCTGGAATGTAAGAACCATGAACCTGGGTAAGTTGGAGGTGGTCAAAAATGAGATGGCAAGAATAAATATTGACATCCTGGGCATCAGTGAACTAAAATGGATGGGAATGGGCGAATTCAGTTCGGATGACCATCACATCTACTACTGTGGGCAAGAAACCCGTAAAAGAAATGGAGTGGCCCTCATAGTCAACAAAAGAGTGGCGAAAGCTGTACTGGGATGCAATCTCAAAAATGATAGAATGATCTCGATACGAATCCAAGGCAGACCTTTTAACATCACAGTAATCCAAGTTTATGCACCAACTACTGGTGCTGAAGAAACTGAAATTGACCAATTCTATGAAGACTTACAACACCTTATAGAAGTGACACCAAAGAAGGATGTTCTTCTCATTATAGGGGACTGGAATGCTAAAGTAGGGAGGCTAGGATATGTAATTCGGCTGGACCAATGGGAGAAATTATGGAAATATGATATTAAATTCACGACATGTTATACAATAAGAGAAAATTTTATGAAAATGGTGTACCAATGGTACTTAACTCCAGTAAAATTGGCTAAAATTTACAAATTAAAATCGAATACCTGTTGGAGATGTAAAAAAGAAATAGGAACAATGTTTCACATGTGGTGGGAATGCTGACCTATTAAACAATTCTGGAATGAAATCTATGAAGAACTTAAAAAGATGTTTAAAATATCTTTCAGAAAAAACCCGGAGGCATTCCTTTTAGGTTAAATTACAAATGATATCCCTGAAAATCAAAGGAAAGTATTCCTTTATGCAACAACAGCTGCCAGGATGCTTATAGCTAAAAACTGGAAAGGCAGAAAAATTCCATCAGTGAAAGATTGGCAAATTAAATTTTGTGAATACATAAATCTGGCAAGACTCACAGCTTACATAAGGGGACAATCGGACCAGAAATTATTAAAAGAATGGGGTTGTGCTAAAGAGTATATGAAAGAACATTGTTCTGGAGTTAGTATATTGGTATGTAATGAATGATGCTTTACAGGGTTAAAGAAAAAGAAAAATGGTGTTGTCAGAGCTGCCCTAGGTCCCAGCTCACAAAGGACCAACGCCAGTTCGTTGTTATATAAAACAGTCTTTATTGAAGCTCAGTTTCTTTTTCACAGCCGCGGGGCGCAGCTCTACGTCTCAAACTCTAGACCGCCGAAGCTCCGTCTGAGTCTCCTCCCCCAGACACCAGTTTAAGACTCTAGCCTTGCTCCACCTCTTCCTCTGCTCTCTTCTCCTCTGGGCCCGCCTGTCCGCTGGGGTCTCGCCTCTCCTAGACTCTTCTGACGCTGAGTCTCCTGAGTCCTCCCCCTCCCTCCGGCGGGCTTTAGGACCTGGTTCCCCATCCGGGTTTCCTGCTGTGCCGCGCGCCTGTACATTCGAACTTGGCGCGCGCGCGCCCAGCCGGCCACCTTCCTCCTGACCGTTACACTGCTCCTGTCACTGCTTCCCCCTTCGGGGAGGCTAGCTGCACCTGACTCTCCCTCCGTTCCCTCACTCTGCGATGGAGGCGTGGCCACCCCTGACTCATGCTCTCTCCCTGCTGGAGGAGAAGCTGGCCCTGATACATGTGACTCTTCCCCCTCACTACGCTCTGGTGGAGGAGCTGGTCCTGCTCTCCCGCTGCTGCTTTGGGAGTCCCCGCTGGCCCCTTGCTTCTGGTGTGTCCCCCCTGGGACCCCCCTTGCCCTGGCCATCGGCGCCCCCCTCTGGGAATCTTCTGATTCGCTGGAGAGACTCCTGGAATCTCTCGGGCCACTTTCATACTCCCCTACGCTGCCCTCAGATTCTTCCCCTTCGCTCTCCATCCCCTCTCTCCCCTGTGCCTCTGCTCCTGAGCCCCTGACAGGTGTAAAAAAAAAAAAAGTACCAAGGTGGAAGTAATCTAATTGGACACAACAATACAGTAAGAGTAAATTTTTTGAGGTCTTAGAACAAAGAAAGGAAGTCAATTTGTGTTTATGTTCGTAATGATATGGGGTTTTTTTTTCTGTAGATGTGTGCTTGTTCGTTTTTGTTTAGTTTAGTTTTGTTTCCTTTGCTTTTTTTTTTCCTTTTCTGTTTTTCCCCCTATATGTTCCGGGGATTTTTGTTTGTATAGTATTATTTTGGATTCAATGTTTGTAATTTTTGTTATGATTCTGCATTGAAAATAAAAAAAATTCCAAAAAAAAGTAGGGAGGCAAGAGATAAAAGGAACAACTGGCAAGTTTGGCCTTGGAGATCAAAACGAAGCAGGGCAAAGGCTAATAGAGTTCTGTCAAGAGAACAAGCTGGTCATCACAAACACGCTTTTCCAACAACACAAGAGACGACTCTACACATGGACATCACCAGATGGGCAGCATCGAAATCAGATTGATTATATTCTCTGCAGCCAAAGATGGAGAAGCTCTATACAGTCAGCAAAAACAAGACCTGGAGCTGACTGTGGCTCAGATCATCAGCTTCTTATAGCAAAATTCAAGCTTAAACTGAAGAAAGTAGGAAAACCACTGGGCCGGTAAGATACAATCTAAGTCAAATCCCTTATGAATACACAGTGGAAGTGAGGAACAGGTTTAAGGATTTAGATTTGGTGGACAGAGTGCCCTGAAGAACTATGGATGGAGGCTCGTAACATTGTACAGGAGGCAGCAACGAAAATCATCCAATGAAAAGGAAATGCAAGAAAGCAAAGTGGCTGTCCAATGAGGCCTTACAAATAGCGGGGGAGAGAAGGCAAGCAAAATGCGAGGGAGATAGTGAAAGATACAGGAAATTGAATGCAGATTTCCAAAGAATAGCAAGGGAGAGACAAGAAGGCCTCTTAAATGAGCAATGCAACAAACAGAGGAAAACAACAGATTGGGAAGAACCAGAGATCTGTTCAAGAAATTGGGGAAGATATCCTCGCCGAAAAGGAAAGCATTCGTAAAAGATTACCATCATAAACTAGACCCCAAAAGTGTAAGGACCTAACAGAAGCAGAAAGACATCAAGAAAGGAGGTGGCAAGAATACACAGAGGAATTATACCGTAGAGAAAATATGGATGTTCATCGTACACCCCAGGTAGTGTGGTTGCTCGACCTTGAGCCTAGACATCCTGGGCAAAGGTGAAGTCAAATGGGCCTGTAGAGAAGCACTGCAAATAACAAGGCGCAGTGGGAAGTGATGGTATTCCAAGCTGAAACTATTTAAAATTTTAAAAGATGATGCCTGTTAAAGGTGCTACACTCCAATATGCCAGCAAATTTGGAAACTCAGGCAGTGGCCAGAAGGATTGGAGAAGATCAGTCTACATCCCAATCCCAAAGAAGGGCAGTGCCAAAGAATGCTCCAACTACCACACAATTTGCACTCATTTCACACGCTAGCAAGGTTTATGCTTAAAAATTCTACAAGGAAGGCTCAAGCAGTATGTGGATCGAGAACTCCCAGAAGTGCAAGCTGGATTTAGAAGAGGCAGAGGAACCAGAGACCAAATTGCAAACATGCGCTGGATTATGGAGAAAGCTAGAGAGTTCCAGAAAGACATATACTTCTGCTTCATTGACTATGCAAAAGCCTTTGACTGTGTCGACCACAGCAAACTATGGCAAGTTCTTAAAGAAATGGGAGGGCCTGATCACCTCATCTGTCTCCTTGAGAAATCTCTATGTGGGACAAGAAGCTACAGTTAGAACTGGATATGAACAACTGATTGGTTCAAATTGGAAAGGAGTACGACAAGGCTATATTTTGTCTCCCTGCCTTATTTAATTTATATGCCAGAATACATCATGCGAAAGGCTGGGCTGGATGAATCCCAAGCTGGAATTAAGGATTGCCGGAAGAAATATCAACAACCTCAGATATGCAGATGACACAACCTTGATGGCAGAAAGTGAGGAGGAATTAAAGAACCTTTTTAATGAGGGTGAAAGAGGAGAGCGCAAAATATGGTCTGAAGCTCAACATCAAAAAAACGAAGATCATGGCCACTGGTCCCATCACCTCCTGGCAAATAGAAGGGGAAGAAATGGAAGCAGTGAGAGATTTTACTTTCTTGGGCTCCATGATCACTGCAGATGGTGACAGCAGCCACGAAATTAAAAGACGCCTGCTTCTTGGGAGAAGGCAATGACAGGCCTAGACAGCATCTTGAGAAGTAGAGACGTCACCTTGCCAACAAAGGTCCGTATAGTTAAGCCATGTTTTTCCCAGTAGTCATGTATGGAAGTGAGAGCTGCGACCATAAAGAAGGCTGATCGCCCGAAGAATTGATGCTTTTGAATTATGGTGCTGGAAGAGACTCTTGAGAGTCCCATGGACTGCAAGAAGATCAAATGCATCCATTCTTAAGGAAATCAGCCCTGAGTGCTCACTGGAAGGACAGATCGTGAAGCTGAGGCTCCAGTACTTTGGCCACCTCATGAGAAGAGAAGACTCCCCTGGAGAAGACACTGATGCTGGGAAAGATGGAGGGCACAAGGAGAAGGGGGCGACAGAGG